AGAGAGCACGTAATATCAGTGCAACGGTGCGGCTTAAGTTTAACAGAATTATCGAGAGAGACGAGTAACTGGCGCATTTATATACTGCATTTCGGTTAGCCGGAGCATATGTGATCTGTACGTGTTGATAAGAGTAACTACAGAGAAAGTGTGTACGGAATAAGAGCGACTAAATAGTCTGATGAGGGTTGTCGACGTAAAAGGGAGTATTTCAGCAGGTTAAACGAGCCTTTCTGAATATTGCGAACGCCTCTGTACTAGCTGGAAACGTTATTTATTCCTGACTTTCCCTAACAATCCCATTTAGCGGTTTCAATTTCCCATCCCTCTCTTTTCCCTGTAGTCGGGCGTACCCATTACGTCTACGTGCCTCCAATACCGCGGAAACGAATGAGGTATAGAGATGGAATGTTAATGTCGGGTAGACGTATCTTGATGATGTAGTCTGGGCATCGAATTTAGCTTCTGCATCTGTAAACAAGTGTCCGACATCCAATGGAGAGACGAGTTTCAAACTCTTCGAAGAACATTCTGAATGAAAAGATTTCGATTGTTTAGTAACCGAATGTTTAGAAACTTATATTAATTCTCGCAACTTATTTCAAGTGAAAGATACTGTACGAAAAGATTACATATGATTGTAAAATGGATTGTAAGACGTGGCATTGTTATCTTTACATTCCGGAAAATTATCAATTTGATGTATAAAATATAAAACATGTGCGCTATTTTATGAATACATTTAAAAAATCGTAAAAAATCTGATAAATATTTATTTCTAGAAATATATTAAATATATGTTGAAGATTTGTAAAGAAAAAATATTGATACGACGTATTTTTATTTTTGATATTTTATTTCACACAAATGGTCGCGCATCTTCATAAATGCGCAACGAACGAGTTTTTCCACATTAACAAGCTGTTAGATTATAAATCAGCAATTTGAACGCAGCATGTTCTAATCAATGACAAGTTATGTTCAGTAAAGTTATGACTTCGGTGTGAGCAGCGTGCTATCCTAACGGATTTACCTAAAATTTGAAACAGCTTAAGCGTACACCCGATCTGATGTCGTAATTGCCGTTTTGGAAAGCAGAATTCTGTATGAAACTTGAGCGCTTGTATCAGCGATGCCCTACCTTCAACACAACTTGTTAACGACAGAAGGCAAAGTTCAATTACGGCAAATTCGAAGTCTAATTTACAATGGCCAGGGGGTTAAATGGAGCCATATTTGACGACGGTGAGAACCAGTACGCTAATAATCTGTACTCACGTACGCTCTATAAATGAAGATTTATTCATAAACACGGAGAGAATTTTTTTTTTAATTTACCCTGCAAATCATGTTAATTATGGGACAATATAGTATTTAGGCAAATTTTACTGTGCACTACAATAAGATTTTGCAGTAAAATTTATTGTAGTGCACAGTAAAATTTACCTAAATACTATATTGTCTCACAATTAACATGAGTCGACAAGGGTAAATTTTAAAAGAAAATTCTCTCCGTGTATAAATGGCCAATGAAAGCTATGTGAGGATATTAGAAATAAAAAGACAAATAAATTGAGTTCGATCTTCATCCCGACGTGGTAATTCGTTACGAGTGTGCCATTTAATCGGAAGGGCGAGGGGGGACGTTCGTCTAATTATCTAGCTATCGCAACCGCCCTTTCCGTTCAATCTCTTCTCTCGAATCTGCGTTCACTCCCGATAATTGGTCATTCAGGAAGCAGCATGGCTTCTAGGAGAGTATATCTTTCCCTGGGGAAGAAATATTTTGCCTTGTAAACTGACCGCCATTGTGTGTTGCTTATATTGGCGCATACACGGAGAGAATTTTTTTTTAAATTTACCCTGCAAATCATGTTAATTATGGGACAATATAGTATTTAGGCAAATTTTACTGTGCACTACAATAAGATTTTGCAGTAAAATTTATTGTAGTGCACAGTAAAATTTACCTAAATACTATATTGTCTCACAATTAACATGATTTTCAGGATAAATTTTAAAAGGAAATTCTCTCCGTGTACATGATATCGAATTAACTGAATTGATATTTAACGAAATTTTTATGGAAATATTGGCGTTAGACAAATCAATCCGTTTACGTTTACTTCATTGTACAGCTTGTCAAAAGAATGATTTGAAAATATAAAGTGATATGACATATACGTCTAATACATAAAGAGATAGGAAAAAAGAATTGTGCATGCGAATTCTTTTTTAAACGGAAAATTGATTTTGAATATGGGTCGCGGTAATGTTTGACCTCTTCTGGAAAGTGACACGAGAAGTCAATAGCTTTTCATAAAAGGCGGATTACGCTTTCGTGCGAATTGCTTTATGAAGGCCTTAAGGCACTCAAGGGCCGTCTTGCAAGAGAGCTTTTAACAACGAAAAACGGAGGATGATGTATTTAGTAACACGTTTGCGAGTATATCGGAGATGACGGCCTGTGTATGTATAAAGGATTTACGTAGACGTTTTTAAAAGACCGCATTACGCTTTTCAGTTTATATCGAGATTATATTGAAAAATACAATAAATTAAATACTTTTTAAATGCACAATACGATTGGATAACAATGTAATTTTTGTAAAATGTGGATATTAAAATGAGATATACAACGAATGATATTATTTTATTGCGTTAAAAGAAGTGTTATATGATAATTTTATTTGAACATAATCATTTAATTTTTATGATATTTACGTAGAAGTTTTATAAATTTTTTGTTTTCTATTGTTATATGTATATTACTACATTAACTACTTAAAAAGATGAAACATAAATGTGTTTCAATATAACGCGTTTAGGCTATCAATTGAATATAAACGGATAATTTCAATTATACAATAACTTATTTATAATAAGTTTGAAATACCATTACAATTATCTGTTAAATTATTATTGGTATTTATGATCTTTATTAAATGTATACATTATTATATATTCATTATTGCGAAAATAAGATATAGAGGAAGAGAATTATTTAAAATGTAATAATATTAATAGAGAAAAATTAATATTAATAATTTAATACTTTAATAATAATAAAATAACTTTCCAAGATGAAAAATTAATTTTAGATATGCTAAATTTTGCGTATAATAATTTCAAAGAATTGTGAAATAAATATTATACCGGTTATCTGATAATACCGGATAAATAACTGGCTATTAATATTGATTGGCTAATAAAAACATAATATAACTACTTGAATGTAGAAATAACAATGCGAAACTTAAAACGGAATGCTCAACAATAAAAAAAAAATTGAAAGTATAACGTTTTGAAATAAAGAATATGCATTTTTACTATACGAGTATAAACAAAATTCAAACAAAATTGATTGTGTGATTTGTGCAGTTATTGGAATAATTCATTTGATATGATGATGCACCATTACCGTGCAAGCCGCAAGGATAGATGCTTGTGTGAAACACTGTACGCACGACATTCTCCATTGTGGGTTTTCACGAATTCCATGAATGTACGCGTGGTTATCATTCGATGGATAACCGAGACCGCTATCGAGTTTAACCCTTAAGTACAGGTCTGATCATATGACCTACTCATACACGCACATGCACAGACGCCTGTCTCACACAGATTATCTTCTTTATGGTACCATCCAGTATACGACATCAATATCTCGAAATTCGATCTATCAATAACCACTCGTGTGTATGTATGTGTCTCTGTATGTGTGTGTTTTGCGTGTTGCTGCATTGCTGTTTGCATGCGTATGTGTGTGTGTGTGTGTGTGTGTGTGTGTGTGTGTGTGTGTGTGTGTGTGTGTGTGTGTAATATAAAAATAAACCTAGATATTTTAAATATAAATGTAAGGTATTTCGTTCTTTTTGCTTTTAATCTACAAATTGATATTCGATGTTTCTGTTTTAATTCTTTGGCATTCATCTCGATATTTTTTTATTTGCATATAAAGCCCATGAAAAACAATAAATTGGCTAAGGTAAAGATAACAACTATTTTTTTTTTTTAACAATGTTGTAGCTGTCGATGCTTTCAAAAAATAACTATATTTTATTGTAAATAATGATATCGCTTGTCTCATATTTATAGGGAAAATAAATACAATGGATTTTAAAATATAAAACGTTTGAATTTAACACAAAAAAATGTGCATATCTTTATTAATTTTTAAAAATATTTTTTATATTAAAATTATTTGATCATGTTAAAAATTAATTATGTATTTCCAAAACGTTTTACCATTTTCTGATCTTATGAGATTTCAATGTTTTCAATGAACTATAACTTTATTGATTATATTGACATTTCCCTTTTCTTACATTTGATGTAAAAACCCCTGTAAAATTTACATGTAGAATGTAGATATATAGTGTAGATGCAAAATTAGTATATGTATGCATAAGAAAAATGGAGAGTCACAGCGTACGCGACATTTAAAAATGGCGTTAGGTCACCGGAAGGACATAACCTTGGTTTTTAAAGTGATATCAAAGAAATCTCAAGATAATGCTCTAATACCGGAACTTTATTTTACAATATCAAATTTCAACGATTTCTTGAAATTAGTTGATATATATATATATATATATATATATATATATATATATTCAAATTAATGAAATACAAATTTCATATTTCAATATTTCTTGGTTTTGCAATACTCTGAACAAAAGAGTTTTAAGTACAATTTAATTAAAACTAACAAAGTTCTTTATTATTTAATTATGCACGATATTATGAGAAATTTAAAAATTATTAAAACACTTTTTAAAAATAAAATTTCTTATTTTTAAATTCATTTTGCAGAAAAATTTTTTTCATTCATATTGCAAAAATTTTTTTTATTAAATATTAGGTAATATTTAATCGCGTTTATTGGCCCGATGCTATCTATCCGATTTACTAACCGTCTGACAATACGCGTAATCCGTACTCAAGCAACTGTCGCGTGCGTAATTATTATTATTGACCTCTCGCCCGCATTGTTGCAGGGGACCATTCAGCGTCGTTCGAAAATGCATTCACCGTCACACCGGGCAGATTTTCGCCGTAAAAATCGTCGATGTGGCAAAATTCACCTCTAGTCCTGGGCTCAGCACTGCGGGTGAGTACATACTGTAAGATGTAGATACACACACACAAGAAAGATATGTAAAAGATCGGAGTCTCTTTTTGATTTCGAATTCCTGACGTTTGACCAGCTCAATAAAAGACACGGATATTTTTCGATTGTTATGTAATGTATATTAAACATCGAGCAATAAAGTTGACTGTACATATTTGATCGAATATCTCCGAAACCATAAAATATTAGATGAAATATTTTCGAGATGCAAGTAGATACTTTTTATTAAGAATTTCTTATATAGAGAGGACATGTTGAGATACATATTCTTTGTAATCTACAATCAATAATGAAATGCTTCAATTTAATTTAGCTTTAAAATATTTCTTTTATATACATTTTACAATTTCTATAATATTTCGACAGAAATAAATATATCCATTTAAGAGAAAGAGAGAGAGAGAGAGAGAGAGAGAGAGAGAGAGAGAGAGAATTTTAAGCTGTTTCTTCATTTTATAAATGGTACATACATACATGTCTCTCATACGGATTGCTTTACATCCACAAGTTTATCGAAATAAGGGAGAAACCACTCCTACCAGGAACCAGTTCCTTGTAAATACCCTTCCATTAATTTTCACCGTATGTTCGAAACAAGGCCTATGCTTCCCTCCTATCCATCTACCTGACAACGAACGCTTTCCCCAATGCTGCGCGACTGACTAAACATGGATTCGAGTTGTGAACCGGCGCGAAGGCCATTGTGCAATTGAATGGAAAGGCGGACCATTGTCGCCGCGCACATTTTTCGGGGATTTAATCCAACGTATCAGTCGACAGGTGCAGATGAAATATACGAGGAGAGCGCATTGTTTTAAATCTGGTTTTCTCTAATAAAGCGCCTTTTTTCCGGAAATGAGAGTAATATTTAATTTTTCCCGATAGCACGAAACTGGCGAGTTATGAACGTACTATGAACGTACTGTTCATTAAGAGATAGGCGACAGCTGAGTAGAGAAGAACAATTTTGAAACGATATTAGTTTCTAAAATCTCTATAGAGTTGCTGTAATAAATCAGAAAAAGCGAAAATAGCTTCTGTACCGGGAATATCTCCCATAAGTGTATCGTATTAGTAACGAAGCAGATGTTCATTCGAGGTACCATATGGATTCTCTCTTTAGGATTATATGGGATCCCAGAAATCCGGAAACATATGCGAACAGAGTATAATATCTCGCTCCTATTCGTGAAACATAACTATACGTACGAAGCAAGATATTCATTTCGCTGGCTGTCGTAAAATATTACCAAGTCTTCTTGTTCAAGTCTTTTTGTTGTCATTTTTCTTACCTTTCTCTTCCTTGTGATTTTCTCCTTTCTCAATACACGCTACTTGATCTAACCATATTTATAAGAATATGTGTTACGTATTCTATCCAATTTTTAATATGATTTTTTTATAAATAAAATAAAGTAGACATTAAATTATTAAATATTTTAATTAATATTGTTATATTTTTACTAAAATACATATATCGATAACAATATGCAAAAATTTTTTTAAAAATTAAATCGTGTTGCCGAATTTGCAAATAGAAAAAGTATAATTTTATTCTTTAACTTTAGTAAAGTTAATTTGTAAATTTTAAGTAAAGTTTACGAATTAACGAAGTTTTAGCACTTAGTCAAAGCTATTTAATTACGAAGTTGTAAAATAGCATGTATAATTTTGTGATAAATTTTGTTGCGAAAATTAATTTTGCAGCTTCTATTAGTCGAAAAATTTATGAATAAAAGATGTATTGATATTTTTTTGTTGTTCTTTATACTTATTAAAATTTTATAATAATTATAATAATAATTACTATATATTAATTTAAAATTAAATAACACTTGTTTTTTAGAATTGTATAAAATTGTAGAAAAAAGTGATTTGTTAAAAAATTCTCATTAAACGTTATTCTACAACTTTGCACATTAAATAAGTCTTTGTTTTAAACTATTGCAATTAGTTTTTTGTATTCTTTAAGGATACAACTTTGTAACACAACTGAAAAATATAAGCTATTCCGTTATTGCAGTCGATTTTTGCTTTTCATAGCTTTAACTGCAGATTCCATTGCAGTTCAATGCAGATACGGCATCTAAATTGACTCTGATAAAAACTGGGAAACGAAGTTTTTTGTATCCGATCCAGATATCTGTAGTTTCGCTTAACTGGAATAAGATTAAATTTATCTGTTCTCATTTTTATGGATATTTGTATATAGTGTTTATTTTCTTCGGATTATTTTTTATAATTAGATTGTATAACAAATTTGCATAATTTATATCCGTAATACTTATAATTTCAAAGACTGATAATATTACACAATGTTAAAATTTGAAATATTAGTTATGCAACACACACACACACGTTTATATTTTGTAAATAAATTATATTTTTTATTTGAAAATTTTTTTACATTATTCTTTGTTGTAAATCTCTAAATCTTAAAATTTTTAACATTTTTTACGACACAAGGATTAAAAATCTAGTAAAGTTTGTTTAAAACTATTTGAATGCTATATCTAGTCAGTGATTTTAATCTTCATCGTTTATAATGTGGCGTGGAAATCTGCTGCGTTAAATCTACGTTTTGTATGTTTTAGATTTGAAACGGGAAGCTACAATATGCCACATGTTGAAACATCCACATATTGTAGAACTGCTGGAAACCTACAGCTCCGAGGGCATGTTATACATGGTATTCGAATAGTAAGTATGCAATAACATACGCATCTTATATTTTGAGAAACATATTTCGTTATTTAACCGATTTAGGATATTATCATAATTGACAGAAACGATTGATAGAAATAAAAAGAATTCCAACAATTTTTCTATCTAATATGTAGAACATTTATCTATTTTATTCAACAATAAGATACAGTACAGTAATCTCTAGTTTTATAAAATTACAACTGTAAAAAATAACTATAGTAGCATAAACTATTATAGTTATGTTCTTTCAATAATTATGAACTTTCAACGAGTCTTTTTTTAGAAAAACGACTTTTGAAACGAAAGGCGTCAGTCTCGTCCTTTATATGCCAACAAGTCTATACTCTCTCATCTTGCTGGCGTAATTATTACCTTTAGGCTAATGAAACGTTATGCTCGTAATATGCGAGATGAAAAAGCATCACATTTGTCGAAAATGAAAGACTCGGCAAAATAAATACGTGTCATTTCCTTAACGGCTCTATCTTTACTCGTGAAAGGCACGTTTTCCATTTAGTTGTTTGCTATCTATTATAACGTTCTATACTATAGTTCGCTATAATTGGATACACACATCCGAGGTGCTCTCGAAATAATCTACGCTATCGGATAAGATAGCTAAAGGTTTTTAATAGACTCGATGCTCAAGGCGTTTTTAACGAGACTATTTAAATAATATGACACTCAACCACACTTTATTTCTTTTAGTTTAATAGAATGTTATTTTTTTTATCATATTAAAATTCTTATTTAATGGTAATATTATTGATTTTACACGATTAATTATACACCGTTTTGATCAATAATTTTCCTTGAATTAATTGAGTATTATTTATGTTACACATTTGATCTCATAATCGATATACATGCATATAAATAAATATCAATGAGATAATTTAAAATCCACGGATAAAGTAAATAAGAATCATAAAACGAGATAAATTCAAATTGAAACAGATTCATTTACCGCATCACCGGATATTCCTGTTTCAATATTCCTGTTTCTCTTTCAGTATGGATGGCTCTGATTTATGCTTCGAGGTCGTAAGACGAGCAACTGCTGGATTCGTATACAGTGAAGCAGTTGCAAGGTAAGAAAATTCATTATATGTATATATCATCGCGCGTAATGAGCACACTGCGCGAACATCGCGAATCCACCGCGCAGACATTACATCCATTTAAACATTATCTGCTAAGACATCATTTACTTGTAACATGATATCCTGACATTACGCCACATGAATACGCAACATTCCATATTATTCCAGCTTAAACTTTCCCAGTGAATCCAAACTCCAGTCGGTAGTAACTGTATCAACTTTATCTTTTCTAACTCTTAAATTTTCTCCAAAAGAATTAATTGTATCAGATTATAGAGCATTATTCTCGATAAAACGCAATTTTCGCATAGCATCTATATTCAATACGCGCTCATGTACGATGAAAATTACTCTAATCTGTTTATTAATCTTGTCAAGGCGATGTGTACCAAGACGAGAGAAATTTGATAAATTAATTGTTTTCATCGAGTCGTTTGGTACTCGGAATACTCAAACGTGATTACCTTCTGTATGTTACACCTCGATATAATGCAAACGGATTCTCTCTCTTGAGAGTCTCCCTGGAGCGTAATAAATCCCTGTCTCGATAAATCCTTGACTGCGATCCATTAGATTCGCTATATACTCATGTCACGCTTGAAGTAGCAGTAGTCTTCACCTCGAGAGGATCCTATTAAAACTAGTCTCAAATATGTCTTACATCTTTGGCACTACGAAGGACTATTAGATAATAAATTGAGATATAATCTGAATGATAGAAATTACGAAATATGGTAATACTTGAAATATGGTAATACTCATAAAGGAAAGACATTCAGAATGTACATTACAAATCTTTCTGTCACGTTTAAATATACTTAGAAAATATGTATCCCTCAGGAGTATAGACATAAATTCTTTTCAAATCTTTACTTTCATCTGTCATGAGAAAGAACACGCTGTAGTTCAAATTTCTTAACATAAAAGATATCTTTATCTTTATATTAATGTCACATATTAGACGCACAGATGTCATGTATTCGCTGCATGTATCACATATTACGACGAGTTCAAAAGATCGTCTGAAAATCTTTGATTGATACAGTGGAAGTACAACGAACATAGTAAATAACTGCATCGTTCTTGTTTGTACGATATTTCATATTTTGCATCACCTTCTGGCAGTACACTGTGCCTGTCAATATCTTGTTTTTATTTTAGACCATATTTCTTTTTTGCACACTTTGTAAAAAATACGTGATAATGTCAAGAGTCAGTTAGCAAGGGTTTTATACTATATACAACTGTGTGCATGAAAAATATTATTCTAAAATGCATTTTATTAATTAAATTGAAATAACATGATTATACACTTTTGTTCGATGCCGTTTTATTTAATAACCCATAAAATATTTAATAAATTCAAGTTATATAACATCGTTAATATAGTCTATTACATATTACGTTTATAAATGCGTTTTATTAATTAAATTAAAATAACATGATTATACACTTTCGTTCGATATTGTTTTATTTAATAACCCATAAACTATTTAATAAACTCAAGTTACATAACATCGTTGATGTAGTCTATTATTATATGTTTATTTCTTTTTACAACGAACAAATTTCGGATGTGGATTTGTATTTGTATTGTTTACTATACCTTGACTTTTTTTGTTTACTGAATGAATTTGATAAAACTTGCGTTGTATGTAAAATCATTGCATTGCGTTATCGTTAGAAGGCACAAGGCAAGGCGTGCCTTAATCGCTCTATTTAAATTCTCAGAAAGGACTGGTTTTCGGTGTCGCGCGCAAATGCTCTTGTGTTCTGTGCGCGACCTTCGCTATTGTTCTCGGACCGAGGATGTACTTTCGTGTGCGGGAGGGGAAGGGGGGGAGGTGTGGTGTTAAAGCGCCGGCACCTAAGAAAACTGCGTTTTCTTTTGCAGTCACTACATGCGACAGATCCTCGAAGCGTTACGTTACTGCCACGAGAATGACATTATTCATCGTGACCTGAAGCCGCAGTGCGCCCTCCTGGCTGGCAAGGAAAATTCCGCCCCGGTGAAGCTGCGCGGTTTCGGCGTTGCCGTGCAACTCCCGACCTCGCAGTCCAATGGCGTTGGTACGTTCATGCCTTCTTTTAATTCACTTACGTTTTCTTTACGCGATCTATTTTACGTGGCGTAGAGATTTACGTCGAAAGCCGTGCGACCTCAGCTCCGGGATGCCCGACCTCGCTATTATTAATTATACTCTACCAACTTCCAGCAAAGTTCTATATATGTGATACACGCGACCATTATCATATAAAAATAACTCTATTAGTTTGAAAAGTGGCATTAAGCCAGCACCTATTAAATATACGTACCTGTTAAATTTAGCTAATTAAAAAAAATTCGCAAAATGTAAAAAAATTTTTCGTAAATAAATTTCAATGATGAAAATTAGTTCAGAAAATATTTTAGAGTTTAGCGTTTAAGAATCGAGCAAGAAATAATTATGATACAGCTTTGATAAAATATTAGTTAAGCCTTTAATTTTTATAAATTAAAGGCTTAAATTTTCGGTCGATTTTTTATATTTTTATTCTTTCCTTGAATATTAATTGCCACGTATCGGGACGTAAAATGCTTGAAAATATTGATTGCATCTGAAAATCTCTTTTCTTCTTTTTATGCAAATATCAAGTCTGTTCCCTACCTATAGAATAGAATTTTCTAGATGCTTGAGAAATACTTGCATGTTTTACGTTATGGTAAAATCTTATTAATGAAAATAACGTGAGGGGTATTAATATTATTACTGCCGCACATAGGAAGGAAGTTAATTTCATAAAATTAACTTTCGTAAATTTTGCTTGTTGACATTTGAATTGGTTTGCTCGAAATATCTCACCGACAAAAAAATAGCGTTTCGATGAGCGATTTTTTTGTTATTCCAGCACGTTGAATGAGATATATCGTTCAAGTCATGATAATGATAACATCACTTCAACTGAAGTATAAAATCGTCGGAGCATAAAAAGGGAGAATTTACTTAGGCCATGCAAATGCTCCAACCACTTCACGTTACCCTCTATTCCGTGACATACGTTCACGAGAGCTGACGTCGTGCCGCTTTTAGCGCGACAGCATTAAGATTACTAAATTTTTCATAATATTTTTAAGTGGTGTCGGCGCTAGGGCGAGAGGCGAAAATAGGACAACAGCGGCATTACTAAAGACGATGCAATAGGGAAATTACGTCTCGAAATATTCATAATATTATTATCTCGTGATTAATAGCTCTTACAGAAAGCAATACAACGGCTTTTCCGCGATCATTTATAAATTCAATCATTGCTTAATGGAGCTCTTTACAAATAACGCAAATGTATATTTAAACACGCGAGTTGTCATATTTTTATGAGAAAACATTAATGAAGAAAAATCTTTTCCAATTTCGCCTGACCTGTCGCCGACACTATTTTTATATTTAGCAAAATATACGCTGATTTAAAAAATATTTACGCGTAATTATACGCTTATTCCATCTGCAAACTAGCTGAGAGGCACTATTCAATGCTCATATATATCTATGTCATATATATCAAAGATAGATATCTAGATGTCTACGTCTATTTGCCGGTAAATACGAAGCGATATACGTCAATAGATTATGTGTACATTAATTTTACGTTCATTTAAACTCTTTAAACTGTTAATTAAGTGTTAAACTCATGTGTGTATACATATAAACTGAATTTTGTGCGTACACATTTATTCGTCGACTATGATAAAACATGAAAATATATTTAGGATCATTTATGATTAGGTAAGCGATTTAATGAATCATATTTAATGATTTGTTAACTTTCTATTTAAAAAGATAATTTCTTTAATTGTGCGGAAGATAATAAATTTCTATTTAGTATCTTTATGAAATATAAATGAACTATCCATTTTTTGTTGAGAAAATTTATGTGTAAAATTAAATATATTTATATATATATTATATATACACATACGTATATATATAAATTTTGAATAATATTTTTAATTTATATTAAGCGATTGCATTATGCACACGACATACATTCCGATTAAATTATTGTTCATAACATATCATTTATATTTAACTTAGATTTTTCTCGTAGCGATATAGCGACCTCTAGCTCGCATTAACTTTTTTTGAAGGCTAATGGTCTATAAAAGATCAAGGCTTTATACTAACGCGAACAACGTTTAGCCCAAAAGTCCAATATTATTACGTGACGGTAAACTGTTCAAAAAATGTATTGATACTGCATATCGTCGATTTTATTTTATTACGAAAAATGTGATAGATTTTTTAAAGTCATTTACGCTTTAATTATTTACACGCGTTTGTCATTGAAGGGGTTTACATATCAGAGAAAGCTAATTTTAAATTACCGACCTGTTGGCATTCAACCGGATTCATTATGACTAGTTCAAACGAATGTCATTTAGCAGCCCGACTTTCTTTTCGCATATAGGTAACAAAAGGAAAAGTTTTAAAATATTCAATGACGAAAGAGGCGCGTCCCCAGAGATACAGAATTATTGTCGAGGATTCGTGCGTCAACGCATCTTTGGATCGAGGTGATTAAATTCTCGTGAAATATCGCTTATCTCCTGGGGGAAGTCTTTTTTACACATTATGTACAATGTCATTTCCAATGAAGATATGATTATAATAACTCTCACGACGCAGTGCGATAGTAATATTAACGAGGGCAAAAAAAGACTACAAAAAAATGCATTGAATATTGCCTCCTCAGAGTTTGTAATTCAAATTTTTATCTTTTTTCTATTCGTTTTTCTTTTTTTTTTTTCGTACCGATACAATGTGTTCCTGGCTCTCATCAAGCGTCACTTCAAAGACACTCGGTGTTTTTGTATCGTCTCTCTTTTGAATGCCCTACTCTGCGATTATTGGCTGGCTTGGTCGATGATTGGCAAATCACATTCAAAAAATTTCTCGGTGTTCGATGTGCACAATGCAACAGCTTTTATCGGATTTCTTCTCTACTGACAACCGTGATGCTCTCTTCTCTGATCAGCCGCAATCGATTGATGTCTATGCATTTTTTTTTATAATCTTTCGCTGCTTCGATATCGCATGGTTCCATTTGTAGATGCTCTTGTTGTTAGCGACACTTGTAGATGTCCGTTTTATAGACTGTACTGCTACGTCTTGGACTAATTTTAGACTTCCTTTGCGTGACCGACGCAATTATTGTTGTCGTGCGTCTTCAAGCGATTTATTTCATCTCTAGCCATGCGATATTAAAGAAGCGTCTTCCGTTATGACGGAAAATCATCTTTCGCTATCCCGCATAATTACATTATGTTAATACTGGTAATCAATATTAGAATCTCATTATCGATTTTATAATGGCAATAGCGTCGCGTTACATCGCCGTTAAGAGCTGTTGATAGAACACACGTTATCCGTTGATCTCTTACTTTCGTTCTACTTATTTTATACTTAATACTTAATCGAGGTTAATATTTAATCGAAGATATAGAGGTGTTTAACAATAGCATGCGTTGTCAAAAAAGACATAGAGCAGCACAATGAATGAACAAATAACGATAATAATAGTATTATAAATTTCATTTGTAAAAGAACTTTATACCGAAATATTGCCATGGAAACAATACATAACGTTTGTCACTAATTTAGTATGACACTTAACACTGGTATACACTTTTATATGACGAGGCGCAGGATAGAATGGTTCCTGCCGATCGATAACAGAATTTAATAGCGATAAGAACTTTTGTCGGCTATGTATAGGGTTAATTGCCCCCTCGTTCTGCTAAGACGTTACGATATTATACCAAGTCAGATATTAATCTCTTCCAACTCCCACGGCTGTCGCCTCTCTCTGCTCTTCCCAGTTCGAAACTAATTTGGCATTCTCGGAGTAGACCGACGGCGTTCCAAATACATAGGCCGGAGATTGACTGGAAAACCGTCGTGTAAACTGGGACGCGCAACTTTTTACATATACGAGTTTTGCAAAACGAGACAGCGCTCGGCCGCTGGGATTACGAGTCGCCTTAAACAAAAAGTTTCCGACGGCCTGATTAAATACGCATAACGCTGCCGCGCGACGTCTCCCCTTAACGCTCCATCATGCTTATTTCTCGCGAAAGCTAATGTTTCATTCTTGGCTCTTTGCGCGCGTAGCCGCTGCTTGGATTCGCGCGCGACATCGTGCATGCTGCAGAGTAACGCGGGAAAAACAAAAAAAAAACAAAAAAAAAAAGAAAGAAACCGCGAGCATAGATGAGAGTTTCCACGTTTTCGCGCGGATAACATTAGGCAGCGACAGCGCGAGAAAAGCGCGTCGTCTGATTACACCCTGATAACGTTGAAATTTGGTTTGAATGAATACAGCATGTTACACGACCGAGTATCGACAGTGTCTGAGCCCAAAGGGGCAGCTCTACTTGAAGGCCGACAGCGAGGGTAAGCCTGATCTAACCTTTAATCATTACTTCCACAGGAGCCTTGTCTCTCATCACATACATATATATATTACACGGACACACACTTATCACATCCACACATATTGTATTATGCCACATTTTCACCCATTCCGTGTACTCCTCTATCACTATCACGTCACTGTACTCTAGAAGCTGCCACCGCTTGCTTGCTTGCTTTACGAGTTCGAATATTCACTTTGACTTGGCTAACTCATTAATATATATGACTTGGCTAATATTTAACATATTAACATATTAAGTAATATATTGTTTAATATATTAATATGTACATGCACTCTTTTTTTTTTTCTCTCGGATATATCTGGTTTACACAAATTCGTTGAAGGATGTCACTCTATATAAAACACTTCTCACAACATTGGGCTTCGCTGATATTGTCTTAAGTGATTTTTCAGCAATACGTATATCTGAAGCAGAGTTAAGAACACGAATGAGAATGAGAATTTAAATTTTATTGAAATAAAATTAAGAATGATAATTGTGCATCTATAAGTGATATTTTCACAGTTATTGTTCAAAAGTTATCCCGTAGCACATGCTAGAAATGATCACCGCAAATTCTCATATCGGCGGATGTTATAGGCAGCCAATCTCTCTCCGAGATATCGTTGAAAAGATTTATCATACATTTTATACGTACGATTACAAAACGAACGAATTAAAGCAAGCCAATTCGACAGTCTTTATACAGATTTTGTACCAACAGGCTCATATACGCAGATTTACCGTACAATACAACTAAACTTATACAAACGTCGCGGAGATATGCCGGGCTTCGACATTTTACATACCAATAGACGCACACACACACCACCAGTGAATTGTGTTGACTGATGAGTAAGCCGGCTCCTCAGGCCGATCGATCTAGCGTCCTTTTGATCCGCGCGAGTTCGATTCCTTAAACAAAAGCAACGGTAAACCCGACAGCCACAGGTCCGTTCTTCCTCCAGCGGCGTTGAACGATAAGGTGCATCCTATCGTCCGTGAAACCGTTAGTAAATCGCGCATAGCGCGAAATTATCGTGACGATAACAATCCTTCTCCTTTCTCTCTGTGTTCTTTCGATAGGCCTGATCTCTTCGAGCTGCAATTTCCCTTTTGAGGACCTGACCGACGCCGAGGATTCGCTAGTGAGCGACACGGAGGACAATATCGGTATCCACATGCCTGCCACATCTACATAACATCTGATGATTTACCACAATCGGGGGTAGAAACGAGAAAATATCGCGTATCTCCTGAAGGGGATGCGTATCTCCTTTCCGCGTTCTTGAGTATATAACTCCCGGCTTCTTATACAACGTCGCTGTGACCGTAAAATATTATTGAGAACTCTTTCCATCAACGACAAGGCCAGACGTATACAGGACGTTCTGTGTAACTTGCTCCAATCGCATGTATATATATTTTTTTCAAAAAGATATTGAGGACATGAAAAAAGGTATTACAAGTACGAGAGCATTTCGACAAAAAATCAACGAGATGTTGTTCGTTCGGCTCTTCCGGATGATCAGCTTTTATCCAACTCGCACTGCTGTTAACGTATCGATCGAAGTGTTCTTTGCGGAACATCCTGTATACGGGAGAGAAAAGATTCGTATGGCGAGTCTGGCGAAACTGCGGCATCTCTCAGCGGGAAATGGCTCCGAGTTCATTTTCGTGAGCGCACACGAATGTGTAGCATTTCGTAATTGTCGAGCGATCGATCAGTCCAGTTTCGTGATTACCCTCGTTTGAGGCATAGCATACGTTCTACCCCCCCGTGTGGTATCGTTATGTTAGTTTGAGAACGCGTAGTGTCTGTATAGACACTCGACCTACGTGCGATAGCAGTATCCCTGTGATATCATTGTGCAGGTCGCGTAGTAACAGATATTTGTTGTGCCATCGAGGGGAAGCGAGCTCGAGAGAACGACTCGTTCCCCTTTTTTGTTTTCATCCCCCCTGTCGTCCGCGTGTGTCTGATATTGTAACGCGCGAATGACACAAGCTCTGCTTCACCGTTGTAGGATTGGGATAAAGTCGTTGACAGAATTGAAGGGTTCGTTACGACTCGCCATTAAATTATTTCATTTCGTTGACACACAAAATATATAAATACCGCCTTTTTAAATAAAACTAAACTACATTCGCCTTTGACATTTTCGCGGTCTGCCTGTGTTTACTGGTAATCGGAGATCGTTATCCCTGGCCAATCCAATTCGTAGCAGGAGAATCTCTCGAGTAAACATAGTGTTTTTTTTTTTAAAAAAGGAATGTTGAAAATGTAGAAATCGAATACGGACATGTTATATGCAATAACCGAATCTGGACAGTGACCGAATTTACTCTGTGGCTTCCGAGTTCGCTCGTAACACGTATCAGTTTTTGATTGAATTGCTCAAATCGACTGCTGTCTCTATAACGCAATCTGAGTACATTTTGGATGATGGTTAATTATTTACCGTAAATAACGTGTTGTCATCAATATGCGTGTGTCCAACTTGGAAGGTTTAAAAGGTATAGAAAAAAAAATATATATATATATAATGTTCTGTTGTAGAAAATAATTGATAACAAAATATAGAAATTGGAAAATCAACTTTGTCCTGTTTATATGACACATTAAAATAAATTACACAATTTTACATGGATTATTCAGCGCTAGAATTTATGCAATATATCACATTTGTTATTATTGCAATTGGTAAATGCAATTGTACAACGTAAATTCATTTTATATACATTATATTGATATAATGTAATATATATTGTCGAAGTAATGTACTGTTATTATTTTCGAGTGAAAGTTTTTGTTATCTTATTCTCGACAGACTTACTTACTAATAATAATCATATTTTAGTTGAACGTAACAAACCCTTCAATCGGTTCACCTATTTCTGAGTCTGGTTACGTGAACTAATTACCCGCGTTATTTGGGCCTGTTTATGTCGTCATTGTTCGTAGCGGTAGAACTAGCCTGTGTGTCTGCGTGTGTCTGTCTATTCGTATGCCGCCTTCTGCTTGTCTTTCATCACTTATCGATGACAAATTGAAACTAGTCGCCGCGTCAGAGAATACTATTTTGTTGCGAGTATCTGCTAAACGTGTTTATACGATGGGAAAGGCAAACGCGATACAATATGAACACGGTGTATTCCTCGATCGAAAATATCGTTCGTTAATAAAACCAAAAGCAGTTTCAGATGTACGAATTCCAATTAAAGCACGTTTGAAATTTTTTTACTATACAATATCATTGTTTACTGAAAACAATATTTCCCAACAATAAAGCGTACGGTCATGATATAACCATGCACAATTTCAGATTGACATTTTACGCAATTTAAAATTGCATAAAATTATGTCTTGCATTATTGTGGAGATTAATCTGTTGCGAAAATATTATACCTCTTAATAAAGAACTTACGTTATGAATAGTGGTTTTTTTCTTTTAGGATGAAACTCGATAACTAGGAGTGTGCAATGTTACCGTATACCTGCGATATATTATGTGTCTACGAAACGCGACACTTTATCCATAAAGTTACGCAAAAATATAATCTTGGTTTTTTTTTTAACTGAAGACTAGATATACCATCAGAAATATATATCAGGATACATTAAATTAGCTATTATTAATTAGATATTTTGTAGCGCATTTGTCTTAAATACGATTTGATTTTGAGTTTTGAACTTGGTAGGACGAACATTTAATATAAATATAAAGTAATATTCAGCTATTCTATATTTTTAAATCTTTATGATAAAATATAAGATGTACAGACTAACTGAAAACGGTCTCAAATGAAACGGAAACATCGGGACTATTTATGAAATTCTCTGAAAGGGGATATTTTAGAGTCAGATTATAAAGGCGATTAATGTATTATAGAGTCGTTTTTATCACGTCCATTATTGTGCATTTTGCACGTATGCTCACGTAACATGTTTTTCTCGAAATAAATATTCCTGCCGGAAATTGTGCCAGAAATTTCCCAGACCACTCGTGCATCATCCTGTATCTCTAAATTACACTTGCGTAAAATGCATGTTATTAACTTGTCGCTTCGTTCGCGCAACTAATTACTTTCGTTAAAAAGCGAGTAATTAAAATCATGCAATGACAAGCGGCAGCCAGGCTATGTACAACACGAATTTAAAATGTCTTTATCGACAGTTATATTTTTTATTAGCACGTTCGTTTTTTTTTTTAATTTGTTGCTCGTGTTTCTCATCATTTAATTTTACGTTCTGAAATCAAATAAATCCTGCATGCTCTTGTTGTGTAATCGCACGAAAATTTGTTTCTCTGTGTGTGTACTTTGGCACCTTGTTGTGGCACCGTCAAACATTACGTATTTTTTTTTACATTTCTATTTTTGAAATATTAAATTTATTTTTATTGCGTTCTTGCTGTACATCAATAACTGTAATCAGTTTCCCTGTGCACCAGCACCATTTACTTTTTTATTCAAGTATTCTTCTCAAATATATTATGTTATAAATAACTTCTATTTTACAGAATTTGATATTAAATATTAATATTTTAAATATTATATTTATTTAATTGAATATATATTATAGACTATAGAGAGATGAATTAAATAAAATTGTTCTTGTTTTTATTAAAGTTTAAGCTCTTTACCAATTATTTTATAATATTTATTATAGTATTGTACAAGATTATAATGTTACATTGTTATTTGAAGAATGTAATCAATATGTTATCATTATCGTAAAATGATGAAGTACTTTATTATATTAATATGTTATTAATACATTTAATATTGCATAAAATGTGCAAAAACGTATTGGAAAAATATAATTTTATTTATGTAATGATAAGATTTGTTCATAAACGGTTAGAAATTAATAAGTATATTTATACAATATTAACAATATCCCTTCTTTATTATACAAACAAAACATTTAGATGAAATATAGTTCATTCTATAGATAGAATAGCATATCTATATATAGAAGAATATATCACATATAGGGTATGTAATCTCTAACAGAATATATGTGTAATGAAATAAAATATTAAAAAATACATATTTATTATATATATTTTACGTACGCATATATTATACATTATATACATTTTAAATATTTTTTAGAGAAAAATTCATGCTTTTTTATGCGATAATCTTATTGATGTAAATAATTATATGTCACGTCACATTTTGACATTTTTCGTAAATGTAAAATTACGCGATATTCTAATGCCAATTTTTTTATTTAACGATATACTTGCGAACGCAATTATGTCGTCTTTGCTTTACAGCCTTAATCATCTCATCTTTTCCCATGTACACTTTTCAATGTGCAGTGACCTACATTTCCTCTCGTGCCGCTTTCTGTGTCATTTACCGATTCTTAATAAATATAGATTGTTGAAAGTAAGCAAGTTAGCACGTTGGTTATCGTCCGTGAACGACGTTTGTGCCTATATCGAAGAATCGGCTACTTTGTGACAGGTGTATTTGTTTTCGAGGAATGCAGTAGCCTTTGCATTTGACATTCGTTCTTTGCCATTATTAATTATATTTGATACGTCCAGTCGATCCGACGTTCCCGATAACGATAAACAAAAGCGGTTTGGATTCTCTCGCCACAGACGATCGATTTGATAGAGAGAGAGAGAGAGAGAGTGTGTGTGTGTGTGTGTGTGTGTGTGTGTGTGTGTGCGTGTGTGTGTATGGGTGGGTGTGTGCGAGAGAGAGAGAGAGAAAGGTACCGATTATTCGTTTTATAAACGTATACAATCGAGGGAAAATCAAACGCAGATGCTTCATTCGGCTGACAAATTCGCGTCTACTTGTCGCAAACACGTTTCCGTTTTACGTAACGATCGACTGCGAAGTTTCCGAGCAATCACTCATGCCTCGCTTCCATTCTGCCGGTCATATTAGCCATTTCATCCCCCTTTCGCTCACGACACTCTTGGTCGCACAGGTCGTGTCGGATGTCCGCACTTCATGGCGCCGGAAGTGATTCAACGGCGACAATATGGGAAACCCGGTGACGTCTGGTCGGCCGGTGTGCTGCTACATGTCCTGCTAACTGGTACACTTCCGTTTGTCGGATCTCGAGACAGGTTGCGGGAAGCGATCTGTCGGGGGCGGGTGCAGGTAATCGCCACGTCTTACGATCCTAACGTCGCTTCTCTAACGCCGCTAATCCGAATGAAACGGCCCGCGGAGAATTTTAATATAATGCTCGCTCGCGCGACTGCCGTTCGCGCCCGGGTCGCGCGCAATTCTCCGTGCGCGACCGAATAATTCCGATTTAATTGAATTTGCAGATGGAGACAGTACTCTGGGATCCCATTAGCGAGCCGGCGAAAGATCTCATACAGAGAATGCTCACGACCGACGTAAATCATAGGATCACCATCCAGGAGGTTCTCAACCACAAGTGGCTCAGAGTAAGTGGAAACGGACCGCGCGGATTTCGCGGCATCGATTCGATACTCTCTTATCTGCATACGGAGCACGCAGGGGAAATCCCGCGATTTGATCCGTATTATAATTGTTCGCGCGGGCGTTCGGTGACGATCAGTATTCTACGTCACGCCGCACAACTCCTGATGGGGATAATCGATGTCGCGGCTTCCGTTTTCATCGCCGGTGATAGTATACATCGGGTTTTATTTTTTCATAATTATGTCGCGCATATGTATATATATATATATATATAAATATATGTATATATATTTTATATATTTATTATATATATGTAATACACGTGGCCTCGTTCCTCCTTATTATCTCCAATGAATGTGCGTGCGCACGCGCGCGCCGTATGGTGTGAGGGTATACCTATGTGGTGCAACAGTTAGCCAGTGACCTAAGGTAGGGAACACCACACTCGCGGAGTCACCCCCATACTTCTTCGATGCAACACACGTGCAACTGGGCTATCGATCCCGCTATAGCGGGAGCGAAGCCTCCGACGGTTAATGAAAATAACTATAGTAAAGTACACCTCGCGCTCGCTGCGCACTGCTTAGAGCTTTTTTATGCGGCTGTACGTTCGTCGAACCCCCGTGGACTTCGTAGAAGCAAGTATATAATCTCTCTCCACCTCGCTTCTCCATGACGGTGTAATACGCCCCGATTGCAGGGAGGGAAAATAATTGCATATTAGTCGGTTGCTGCTGCTGGCTCAGCATTTTCTTTACGATGTTTACGTTCTTTACGATGTGTACGTTGCCATTGTTACACGCAGCTAGACATCTATTAACGAATTTTTCTTTATTTCGAAGGCTATTTGGTTTGCGTTAAATCAATTAATTAATTTGCTTAATTGATAATTTATTGGTGCCTCTCGAATGCCTTTTAAAATTAATTTTACAGGCGTTTACAGTTTTGGCATCTGCATTGCTTCCGGCTTCATTGTCGTCGTCAATAACAGCATGGTCATTTTTTATTTCTATAAGAATTGCGCTTGTTTTATCGCGAATGAACGGATCTTAACTTGCAGGATCGTGATAAGGGTGCAGCCCGTATACATTTAGGTGACACTATAGACGAGCTTAAGAAATTCAATGCGAGGCGAAAACTGAAGGACGCCGTAAAAGCTGCCGTCTCCTCGTCGAAATGGCACGCTCCGTATTCAGAAGCTAATGGCGACAATTTCTCTGACGTCGGCGATGACGAGATAACTACAGGTACATCGAAAGCGAGCGATCTCAGAATTTTATTTGTGATACATATACACAAGTGCGATACAGATAAAAGTGTTTCCCTCAACAGATGTGTAATCCACAAGGAAGACAATTTTATTTAAATACAGACAGATATATACAGATTTTATTATTAATATAATTTAAGTTTGTATAATTTACGTTTTAATTACCTAATATTATTATAGAGACAGTATTAAAAATAAAAAAAAGAAATGTCTTAATAGATAGCTATTTTAAATTGGAATTTCGCTAACGTTGAATTTCGCTTCATAAAAAATTCAAAAGTATGCGCGAAATTGCTCGTTATATTTTTATAATCAAAACAAACGGTAACATATGCAATATAGTTTCGTTCACGTGCTCTGGGCTTGCTATTTCAACAATGACAGATTGACGATATCGTGTAATTTGGAAATTCCGTTATTTCCGCGAACATTGCGTTAATGGATACAGAACAAGCAAATGAGCGCGAATAAGCACGAATGAGTAATTTGCGTAATAATGAGTGGAAACAGCATTGCGAGTATAAATTGTTTGTGTGTACTTGCGCTTGTTCGCTTGATCTGCATCCGGTTTAACAGAGAGCATTACTATCTTATCGACATTGTCTATTGTTACATAAAAGATTGCAATTGTAATGTGAGACATCGAACATATCAACGACGTTTTTCGTAAAATCAATATTTCATACATTCTCGTGTTATAGGCGCTGTAGCCGAAATTGTGGATTGCTTGGATGACATTGAGATTCTCGAGGAAAGTGATAGACTATTGCGAACGGACGTACTCAATGCCGTTGATGATCATCGAATTCGAGTCGTCTTGGAGGTACTTTTTACAACAATTCATAATTATATAAAAAGTAATAAGAACATGCCGAATTGATTAAGAGAAAAAATGATGAGAAGATGATTAAAAGATTGCACAATAAGCTATCTAAATTTTCAGTATTCAAACTTTTCGCTTACCAAACAAATGTCACTTTAATTGTAAATGTGTGAATTATCGCGTATTCATTCCGAAAATGTCGTTATGTGTGTTCCTCAAAAACTTTAAATATTCAACAAAAAGTTTAATTAGACAATGTGAATTCTTCTGACTGTGCGGCAATCGATTGTTTCATCATATTTTTGTTCAATTATTATTTTGTACAAATTTCTGTAACTATGATCGAGTCTTAATCAGCAGTAATTTGATTCTTGATTCTGTGTAGGTTAAAGATGAAAGAATTTATCTGTTTAAACAAAAATTGCTTTGAAAAATTTTCAGGAACTTTTTTTTATGATTCCGTCATAATATTGAGATAAAAATTGAAACGTGCGATCTCAGATAGCAAACTTTCTGTTTCTAATTTAGCGTAAATTCGGAAATTTGCTGTTTGATAATTATTTTTTTAAATATATAATAATGTTTGTTAACAGTCTTCCTCTCTCGTTATAATAATGTTTTTATTATGAAAATGATAATTTTCGTTATTTTCGTTACATTTAGCGAATTTATCTTTTCTGTTTTTAAAAGATGATGTATGCAATTTGACCAAAAAGAAATTTTAAAAAATGTTTTTAAATTTATAATATTTTAGCGTAGATTTATTCTCTCTTTTTCTCTCTCTCTCTCTCTTTTATATTAATATTATTATTCATTTAATTGATTTGACATTTCTTTAAACGGAAAAACTACCTGTTTTATTTATTCAAGCAATTTTTGTTCATATAGTTATCTCACAGATGATTTTGTAATAAAGCTTTCCTTCACGTCTGACGTTATTTTCGCGTCATTTATTTTTGCATAACATCGAAATTTTCTGCAATCAATTGCAAATAGCAAGGAGAGAAAATGCCTTTATGGTACGTAGGGTAAAACAGAATGAGTTATTTCTTATCAAGGGTGGATAACGGCTGTTTCAACCCCTTTCCGTGAAACGCTTGCGCAATGTTTGAACTGTTATCTTTCAACTCGCCCGGATCGGCAGGCACCCCCTTTTCGCGCGGTTGAGTCCCGTCGCCGCAGAGCTTGAGCTTTTCCACTGAGAGCGGAGCCACCCATTCTCGACTCCCTCAGTGGTCCTCCCCGACCGTGAGGGATAATGTAGCCCCCTGCGGGATATCCCGCGGGAACGGATTGCCCGCCCTCGTTCCTTTCGAGGAAAAGCACGCAAGCGCTACCCTCCAGGCTAGCAAGATGGCTGCCGTGGAGTCCTGATAAACAACATGCCACGCACGATCGAAGGATCGTACTGTCGCGGTGACACGCGTGCCAATGTAAACTTGTTCTTCGGTGGTTCCTGAAGTGTCACGTGGCCGTACGAGCCACGTGCTAGGATCATGCCACACGTGGTCCTAGCCCGGTGAGGCTTGTGTGCACTGTTTATGCAGCAGAGATGCATCTCTGTCAGTTGATGTTCTTCGGCGATGCCGAGCTAGCCGGCGATCTGCTCGAAATCGCGGGTCTCCTGGTGAGTAAATTAATTCGATCGTGCAAAATATAAGAGGGAACATTGCCGGTGATTTAAGTTTAGCAAATTTAAAATTTTATACTATAAATTAAGTGACATCGGCCCCTGCAAATTTAAGCGCGTTCGCTGTATGATCAGGACATCTCATGGATTCCCTTACGAACTATTTTCAACCTCAATATCGTCTAATAATATAATTTTAGTTTTCAATTCTTTTAATGAATTCAATTTTTATTATGTTATATTTATGTGATTTAAATTGATTTTTTTGCTGTGTTTTTATAAGAATATACCTTGAAAATAAATTGAGAGGGAAAAGGAAAAAATATCACAGAAAAGTTTGAATACTCACAATTAGATAGCTTTAATCTTTTTTTTTTGTTAATTATTAAAATGCGATATTTTTAAGTATTTTAATAAATTAAAATAAAATAAAATATTTCAACTGTTTACTTTTAATCGATCATATTTCAGAAAATGTATAATGACATAACTACTTTTCGTTACATAAATGCGAGATTAAACTTGCATAAGTGCTAATATGAAGAAACAATTCAATTACAAAAGGAATCGGAAAACTTATATTAATGTTGATATTTCTGATTTCTAGCTTTATGATAGAATCTCAGGTCGTGTACCAGCGCCGTATCGAGCACCGCAAACGGATGCGGTCCAACGTGCTCGTGATGTTGAGGAGATCCTTCGGGAAGCAGAGCATTCGACGGTGCGAAATATCGATAGAGCCGATCTTCGAGAACTTCACGAATTACTGGTCCAGCCGCATATGAGGGTAAGTACATTGTGATTTAAAATTAAAAACTTAATGCAGAACGGCATTAACGACTTGCTTTCGTTCTATCAAAAGTTAGTCCTCTTAACTTACTTTAAGTGACGTAGTATCTACTATTTAAAAAGAAGATTTTATATAAATTTTATAATCATTTTACATGTATGCGATTTTAAGAAAAATACGCGATACACTATTAAGAAATTTGCCGAAATTTATGAAAAAAAAAGAAATCAATTTAAATTAATTTGTGATATAAATTCGTTATATTCACTTACTAACAAATAATTTTTGCTTAAATTAATTTGTGATATAAATTCGTTATATTCACTTACTAACAAATAATTTTTGCTTTAAATATATTTTGTATATGTTGGAAATTATGATGGCTTGAGATTGCATTGTTACGTCAAGCAGTTATTGCTAAATCGATCGGTAGCTACGAACTGTGTCGCGTTTGTAATAATCCAAGCGTAAACGGTAATCAGGCGCGACTTGATTCGCGTTTACATTGTGTATCAATAACGATTTTTCCATTGCTCACGTGAATGAATTCAATTAAAAATAGGAAATATTGAAGATTAATTACAGCTCGAATTGTACAAAGTAATTTCTTAAGAACAGCTGTAAGTATTGATAAAAAAGCTACACTGTACTATTAGTACAGTGTAACCATTATATAATATTTTATCGACATATTCTGAAAATTAATTAAAAACGAAAATGTCGAGATCATAATTAGTTTTGACTGATTGTAACTTAGAAGTTATCGATACGATGTTTTTATATCATGATTTTGATTTGATTAATCTTTTTTTATACTATTATATTATGCACAATAATGTAATAGTATAGAAAATAGTTATGGAATATTTTGTACATAAAACAAATAGTATTCGTAAATTAATTCTGATAAATATTATTGAAATTTCTTAATTACGTTATAGTGATTATTATTATAAGGTAAATGAATAACTTATACAGATGGAGAATTCAGTTTTTTTATCATATATGTAGTACATATTTAAAATTATATATATGTATTTTTTACACAATTCTACATTTATACATGGTATCGGTAATTTTTTTAAATGACATATGTCATAAAATTTTATGCATATATCTATAATAATATATGCACAAATATACATGTATATTTGTGTCGCTTATAATATGCATTTATGTGACAGCGAGATATATTGGGTGGTTTCTAAATATAAGAGAGAGAAAGAGTGGAAGAAATAGCCTGTGAAATCCGCGAAAGGATCGATCGGTATCGGGCGATTTGTGTGGCGACTTTCCGCAAACTATATTCCAACGTGGTATCCCGATAATCGTCTAACCGTGCCGTTTCCATTGCTGTTTGTCCGCACAGTGACGATCGCTAGCATATTTATCGCGGTGTTTGACATTACCGTAGGATATACCGTAAATGGGGCGCGGAAATGTAGGTCGATCGTTAAAATTCTCGGTTAAAAATCCCGTAGCTGTTGCGAGCGTGGCGGGAAGCGTGGCAGGGAGGAAAGAATTATAGCGGGAGTAAGATAAATGTAGGGAAAAGGGGCGAACAGCGCGGAGAGATAGATCGAGAACACGGGGATTTAAACGGGCCGTGGCACATTCTGATAGCTATCCTCGTTACTAGGCGTCGTATTAATCTCATCTTTATCCTTGAGGCGCGAGATGCTCATTACTTATTTGCAAGCCTCCGCCTTCGTCTTCGCGTTTCTGTCTGGTCCTATTTTAGATCGGCGTCTCGAGAAATGGAGAACCCGGCTGTGCCCTTTTAACGTGATATTTGGCACTGCGTTCCGGATACGGTCAAAATCGATGTGGCGCCCTACTTCGATTAGCGACACAAGTGGAACGGGCAAAAATAAAAAGAGCGTCTGGCGCATTTAATTACATACGTTAAATGGTTCGGTGGAACTGCTGTTCTCGTTTCTTCCGCGAGAAATGATGTAGATTGTAAACGTTCGAAAAAACTGTGTTAGAGAAGAATCTTCATTTTTAGAATTCAACTTTCTCCCCTCCACACATCTTGGAAAGATAACGCAATGCGTTTATTAATGATCGTGTCACGTTTTGAATCGTACATTTGATTGTTTATTATGGAGATATCAAAGACGTTATATATATATATATTAAATTTCGATGGAACGTAAGTTGTGACATTGATAAATATACTTAAATAAAGAGAGTAGAAACGTTAGTTTCTTTCATTATATACAATTTCGTAATTAAATATAAAATTGACGCAAAATTAAAATTAGAATTTTTCTGCCGTGTAAACCGAGAAAAGGAAAACATATTATATTTAATCGATATCCATGAGAAAGTAGAACTTGTTGCTTCGTTGAGACGGGAAATAATATGGTAAGAGGATTGATCCATGCACGGCTATACATTAAAATGCATGGTAGAAAAAGACCGAGAACCCTTGATCCATCAACTTATTCGGTCACGACAAGCATTCAGGAAAAGAATTAACGTATGCACTTAATGTTCCGGGAAACCGTGAAGATTGATGAAATGCATTGAAGATTTACACCTTGTAGACATGTATTCATATATATTACAACGACATTCATACGAAAAAATTGTAATAAATTATGCACCTAAACGATGCTTATAACATATTCTTTTTAATTGAGAAACCATGCAATAAATTTTTATTGATCACACACGAAACGTTTCTCAAAATCAGTGCAATATTATAATTTAGAAATTAATTTAAGTCGAAAATCCTAATATAAAAAAATCGAGATTTCAATTTTTTGAATGATAATCGAAGTAGCCCAATAATATCACGCTTCTTAGCCGAGCAATTTGTTACTAGTTTTTAAAAAAATATAATTAACTCTTTTCAAGTTTTTAATTCCACTTTAGGCGATTTATAATTTGTATCGGAATTTATTTCCGGATAAATTTCCACTGTAATTTTGTATGTATTGTAATACGAAAAATATACATTCAATAGAATGTAATACGAAACATTGGAAAAAATCAGAATACATGCATATCTATATAATCAGAATATATGATACGACGTATGTATTTACATATAAATTATAAATAGAATTCCATCCTGAAACCTGATGCGAATTAAATAAAAGTGGCTTTCACGTGTAGATACTCTGGTACTACATACGTTGTAACGATCAATTGATATTAACAATTTTGTTATCGGCAGCAAATTTTGATTGTTACAAAAAGATTATTTAATCCTTTTCTCTATAAAAATCTCAATTCTCGATTGAGGGAGCAAAGCAATAAATCATTGCTTTAAGCGACGCGAAAGAATCTATCGCGGTATGAAACGCGATATGCGATAAAAATCATTTCTCGATATTCGAAAGGAAATACGTATATTCGGCGAATAGATTTGAGAAAATATTTTCCGACTGGCACGCGGCCTTGGTCTTCGTTGTTATTACACCGTATTGCGGGCCGGGCCGTACACAAAAACATTAACTGGCCGCTCTGAGCGAGCGCGCGCCGAGTTGTTTACGCAAGGTCACCGCGCTACCATTCGCACGCCGGCGGCTGAACGGGCCGGACGGGCGGCCGGGGCGCGGCGCGGGCTGTTTATTTTCGTGCGCGTATTTCGTCGCGCGTTTCGGAATTGTCTACGGGCAATTAGCAACGATTGCCGCGATCGCACGGTTGATCAGTTCGTACGATTGAGTATTGACGCCTTCGCGAGCGTGTCGCAAAGTTGAGAGCTACGGTACTTTGAACTTATCGATCCTGTCGATTCGCCAAGATTCAGTTTCCAGTTCGAAAACCTGAAACGATACGCGGATGTATTCATAATTATCCGTATCTTGTTATTTCTTAACGACGGCGCAGCATGAATTCGGTGTCTGAACATTGGTGATTTGAACTAAAGTTTCCCCGAGAGATTCTTTCGTTGCGCCATAATTTGCGAAACTTGCGTGCGTGTCGAACGGATCGTGTAGTTCCGCGCAGACTTGCTTCCTTCGCATTGTACTTCCTTCACGATATAATACAATACGTGCCGCGAGCGATTAACATCGAAAGTTCAAAGTATCGTGCAAATGTAATTAACCGTGTTTTCGCGAGTGAGCGTTGTGCAAGTGGAGGAGCAACCAGGAGCAACAGTGGAATCTAACCTAACCTCTTAGAGAGTATAGGCCCGCGGAGGCGTCGGGCAACGGCAGAGCAACTCTACGGTGAGTAGTTTATTAATCTATTATTTTATTATTTTTGTCCTATACACACATCTTTATTTATATCAGAAGTTTTATAAAAGTTCATATTTAATAGAATATTAAACGCTACATTATTCTTTTATTATATACTTATTTAAAGCATCAATAAAAACTTAAACGCGCATCTAATAATTATTTTTTAAAATATTAATTATTTAATTATAATTGAATTATCATTTGAATATATTTGTATTTTGCAGATCGAATGTTTGTACTAACTCTGCTGCTGCGCCGCGGCGCCGGTGAGTGCTAGATTACTTTTTATTATTAATTTTGAGACAATGAATGCATTTGTAAAAATTATATCTTATACAAATGAGATAAAAATAAGGAATACTAAAAAATAATTTAAAACATTGAAGTATTTTTCTTGACTTTTAATTATTATAATATATAGAAATTTGAATTTGTTGGAATTTATTCCAAGGTTAATTAGTCATTTATATTACATTGAAATATTTTATATTCGAAGAAATTTCTTATGTACTGTATTTAAATTAATATAAATATATATATTTTTACTTGTATTGTTAGAAAATGCATTATTAAGATTTATAGTTGGAATGATGAAAATTGTTCATTAAGAATTTTTTTGTCACGTATTTTATCATATCATATTATATTATCCAGTATTTTAATACTAATATGTAATGACTGATTAATTCTGAAATAATGTATAATATATAAAAATAATGTATAATATATAATGTATAATATATAAAAAAATTCTTTCGGAACATTTATGTATTTATAATTCTCTATATTCAT